TACAGTAGGTGTGTGCACTCGCCAGACAGACAGAGAGAGACATAGAGACAGAAAGCGAGAAATCACCCCCCAGGGGGGATGGTCACGCCGCAATCCCCTCTCCTCCATTCTCCTCTCGGGATCTTGGGCACGCACGCACAAGCGCCCCGCATGAGTTTTAAGCCACCGGGTCCGGAACGCAAACCGCGGTCGACTACGTGGGAGTCCAGCGACATAGCCATTACGCTAACTGCTGGTTCCCGAGTCCTAATATACTTCTATATGAATTTTTTGCTATATTCCTTTGTGTTATTTTTTACTGGATGCTCAAGAAATTACAATATTCTTAATTCAATATTACAAAATATAATATTTAAATTATCACAATGTGTTTCAAATATTAGCATACTTCATAAAAATGTAAGAACTTTAAAGTGTAATTCAATTTATGCATTTTTCATTTTTTTGTGTGTGTTCACATTGTCTAATTTTACTATTATATATGCTATAAACGACGCAATGCAGATACTATTGTATCTGTTCTGGAGTTCATGCCTTTTTAACATTTATATTTTGAAATAACCTTGAATTTATAAAAAGCTATAAAAATAAACAACAGAAAGAAAAAATAATAAAACAAAAATGAAGGTGTTTTTAAGCAAGACATATATCCTTCCTTTAAGCCAAATCCCTGCCATTCCAGGTCCCAAACTCTTAACAAGTAATCAGCCACATGGGATCCAGTTACCTTAACCATGCCACCTGCTAGCCCCATATAACTTTTTAAACCTAGGGTTTCTTTTACATATTTATTTCCAATGAAATTTATTTGCTTACTTACCAAAAAAAAAAGAATTCTTTAAAAAATGACGATTATAGGGACCAGCAGTTAGCGTAATGACTATGTCGCTGGACTCCCACGTGGTCGACTGCAGTTTGAGTCCCGGACCTGGTGGGGGAAAGGCCACGCCAAAATCCCTTCTCCTCCATTCTCCTCTCGGGATCTTGGGCACGCATGCACATGCGCCCAGCCGTGAGTTTTAAGCCACTGGGTCCGGACTCAAATCACGGTCAACTACATGGGAGTCCAGTGACACAGCCATTACGCCAACTGCTGGCCCCAACATGTGTATATTTCAACTTTTTATTTCAACTATCTCAACTTTTTTAAATGACTTCATAGAATTTCACTGTATGGAGATAGCATTAATTGGCTTAAGCACTTCACCTATTTATTAATATTTAGATTGCTGTTTTACTAGATGGTTGCTTGGTTAATATAATTTGGTCATTCAGCAACTTGATCCTTCATAGAATTGACTTTTGGTAAATTAGCTTCCAATAAATTAATGCAAGAGCTATGCTGGATAAAAATGCTAAAGCCCAAAGTACACAGAACTTATTCTTCTCAAAGAACATTTCATCTAACTTGTCAAGTAGCATTCCCAGCAGTTTATCTAATCTAAGCTCACAATAGCTAGCAGGTAATGAGCACATTCAAAATTTTCATCTCTTAATTGCTAAGTAAACTGCTTCACCTCTTTGCATCAGTTTTCTTACTGGTCAAATGGAGGCTACAAAATCTGCTCTAGCAATCAAATACATTTTGTGAAGATCAAACATACTCTAAAAAGTCAAAACTAAAAGTTAAAGTATTAAATATGTAGTGCTATTTTAAAAGATTCCCTTAACAAATTAAAATTACATAAGTTTAAAAATTTATTTGAAATATTCAATAAATTTCATTTTTATTTCAATCATCTCTAATGTACAAAATATATTAGGTAAACCATATACGATATGTTTAAAAATTCATAGTGTAATATCCAAAAATCCAATTTTTGTTTCACTCTTCCTTGATGAACAAACATTATAGATAAGCTATAATACAGTAAGAACATTTTTGTTAATTTATTTAACAAAAGGGAAAACATGTTCTTTATAAAAGCTCCAAATGATACAGAAAAGGACTAAAAGTCCCTCTCCCCATGGAGCCAGTGGGTGGCATGGTGGCTGGGGCACTGGATTTCCACATGGCCAACCTGAGTCACAGACCTGGCAGCTTGCTTTCTCACTTTCCCTATCAGTCTCTCTCTGGTCAAATTTGTAAATAATAATAATGATGATAAATGAAATTAAATAATTCTTTTAAAAAAAGTTCCTCTCCCCAGAAATAATTAATATTAATACCAATAATTTCTTAAGCAGCACTCTCCTACATATTTTCCATTTAAAAATACATAACATATATACTTTTCTAGAAAATGCAAAAAGGACACTATACACATTGTCTGTCACTTTTTTGTTTTGTTTTTGCATCACAGACATTTTCCCACATCAGTACACACAGGTATCAGTATGGCATGTAAGAAAGGAAATTCCATAAAAACATATAAACAGACCTGTTTTGGATGCACCATCTACAGAACTCATTCTTCACTCCATCAGGAATGTTGACCTTGACTGTTAATATCTTCAAATTTTCTCCACGATTAATTGCCAGAATCTGAGAGCAAACAGATGGCAAAGACTGATAATTCCCAAACTACAAACTCGATCAATTTAATCAGTCAACATTTCTTTTTAATTGCATACATGCATACACATACTCGGTATGTTCCTCAAGTTTCAGGGGCCAGGATTTGATGCACACAGTGAGCCATGTGTGATCTGGCTCCCTTAACCTCTAGGCCCTGGGGCTGCCCCAACCAGTCAGCATTTATGAAACAAGTCAGACAACTGTGTAGCCAAGGGCTATGTTAATTTTTAGTCATATAATTGCCAAGAGTCTATTCAAAAATAATAATTTGTTTTTTTCAAGTAACCCACCTCCCTCAAGGAAACTGTAACATGCTTTTTGAAAGTAAAATACAAGTATAAAGCCTATGTAACACATTTACAGAAAAACATTTTGGTTATCTAAAATTATATTTCAGATTGTACTAATTGAAAATTTTCAATCATCTGGAGTTGGAAGAGTATAACTTTTATAACTTAGAAAAGATAATTTGTGCTAAGATAAATACAAATATGTAAAGTCCTAAGTGGAATATTTAATAGCTACTAATTGTTACCATTTATTGAGCAGTTACTAATTTTAGGGCCCATATAATCACTTTAAATACATTATCTGAGGTAAACCTTACAGCCAGCAGTGATGAATATAGTTATCTAGACTTTATTTAATAATTTTTCTGAGACCAATTTGTCCCAAAACAAGTAGTAAAGTAGGAATTTAAACTCAGATTAAACTGTTCATGTTCTTAACTAACATTACATCAAAAAAACAATTATTTTAAACTCAGATCAACCTGTCTATATTCTTAATTAGTGTTTTATTAAAGGGGCAATTATTTTTAAATATATTAAAAATACTCCTTAAAGAAGTTTAGGGCCAGCCACTGGAATATAAGGCAGCTGGATCTGACAAAGCTGACTGTGTGGTTCAAGTGTTGAACCCAGTGACTTGAAAGACATGCTGGGCACGTGTATGTATGTGCCCCAAGTCCTGAGAGATTAGAGGATAAGGGATTGTGGAGTGGCCATCCCCCCTGGGGGGATTTTCTCACCTTTCTTCTCTATATCTATCTATCTTTCTTTCTTCCTCCTTCCCTCCCGCTCGCTCTCTCTCGCTCGCTCTCTCTCTCTCTCTCTCTCCAGCAAGCACACACACCCTATGGCAAATTAAGGGAGAAAAAAAAAAGAAGTGTAAACAAAGCTAAGCAAGGAGAAGGAAGGAAATAATAAAGAACCGAGTGAAAATGAACAAATAGAGAATAGAAAAACAATAGATAATATCAACAAAATAAAAACTGGTACTCTGAAAATATCAACAAAATTGACAGGTTTTTTGCTAGACTAACCAAGAAAGTAAGAGGAAACACTCAAATTACTAAAATGAGAAACAAAAGAGAGGCCACGAGTATGAACATTCTAGATATAAAAAGGCTCTTAAGAGAATACAACTGTATGTCAAATCAGATAACATAAACAAAATCCTAAAAAGATGCAAACTACCAAAAAAAAAAAAAACAAAAAAAAACCAGAAAATTTGATAGCTCTATAACAAGTAAAGACATTGAATTAGAAATTTCAAAATTTCCCACAAAGAAATGTCCAGGCCCAGATGGCTCTACTATAAAATTCTGCCAAACATCTTAACAAAAATTTTTAAAAATTAACAATTAATGCTATCTCCACACAGTGAAATCCTGTACTTTAAAAAGTTGAGATATAAAGTTGAAATATAAATTAATTTTTCATAAACATTTCCTAAAAATGCCAGAGAAACTTCCCAGTTCTTTTTTTTAATTTTTAAATTTTATTTATTCATTCATTTATTTTTTAATTTCACCAGAGAGAGACACAGAGAAAGAGGGAAAGTGAGAAAGCAAGCCTCCAGGTCTGAGATTCAAACTGTGGTTGGCCATGTGGGAGTGTCCAGCACCTTAACCACCACACCACCTGCTGCCCCCTCCCCCAGTTCTATTAGGCCAATATTATACTAATACAAAAACCAGAACGACTTCACAAGAAAATTAAGATCTGTATCTCTCATGAATATGAACATAAAACTCCAGGACCAGCAGATGGCATAATGGTTGCATAACTGGACTCTCACATAGTCTAATGCAGTTTGAGTATCAGATCCAGGGACTTAAACTCACTCTGGGTGGGTGTGCGTATGTGCCCAAGATCCCAAGAGGAAAATGGAGGAGAAGGAATTACGGCATGGTCATCCTCCCTGGGGAGGAATTTCTCGCTTTCTGTCTCTCTGCCTTTCATTCTATTGAGCACATGCGCCCTAAAGCAAAAACTTCTCTTTAAAAATAAGTAAATAAATAAATGTAGAAATCCTTAGTAAAATGCTACTAAGCCAAATACACAAATAAAAATCCTTGATAAAATACTATTAAGTCAAATACAGAAACATAAAAAGAATTATACACCAAGATCAAGTAGAATTTATTCCAGAAATATCCAGCTGGTTTAACCTTCAAAAATCAATTAATGTAATACATTATACCTATAGGATCAAAACCAAAAATCACATGATCATCACAATAAACACAAGAACATTTGACAAAACCAGTAGCCCTTCATGATGTAAACACTCAATATCTTCAATATGAGAAAGGGCATGTTCAGAGACCCCACAACGAACCTCACACTTAATGGTGAAAAACTGGATTCTTTCCATATAAGATCAGGAACAAGATAATGGTGTCCACCCCCCTCCCTATTTTTTTTTTTTTGAGTGAGAGATATTTGCTCTAGGGCATGTGTGCTCACCAGAGTCACAGAGAGCCAGTGAGAAATCACCTTCAAGGGGGGATGGCCACACTGCAATCCCTTCTTATCCATTCTCTTCTTGCAATTTTGGACACTCACGCACACGTGCCTGGCATGAGTTTTAAGCTACCAGGTCTGGGTCTCGAACCATGGTCAACTACATGGGAGTCCAGCGAGTAACCATTACACCATCTGCTGGTCCCAACAAGAGTATCCATTCTTGCTACTACTTTATTTTTTTGGAGAGGTTTTTGCTACAGGGTGCGTGCACTCGCCAGAAAGATAGAGAGAGACAAAGAGACAGAAAGCGAGAAATCCTCCCCACAAGGGGGGGGATGACTGCTGCAATCCATTCTCCTTCATTTTCCTCTAGGGATCTTGGGCACGCACACGCACACACCTAGCGTGAGTTCAAGTCACCACATCTGGGACTTGAACTGCAGTCAACTACACGGGAGTCCAGCGACACAGCTATTACACCATCTGCTGGTCCCCCATTCTTGCTACTTCTGTTCAACACGGTACTGAAAGTTACAGCTAGAGAAATGAGGGAAGAAAAGCAGGGAGGAAGGAAAGGAGAAAAGTAAGAATAGGAAAACAGAAAGGAAAAAAAAGAAGAAAGGAAGTCAGGAAGGAAAGCAAGCAAGCAAACAAGCAAGCATCCAAACTGAAAAGGAAGAAGTAAAACTGTCCCTATTTACAGCTAATTTAATCTTATACACAAAACATTCTATAGAACTATCAGAACAAAAAAAGATTTCAGCAAAGTAGCAGGATAAAAGATTAACATACAAAATGTCTACATACAAGCAATAAACTTTTCTTTTTTTTTTTTTTTTTTTCAGTTTTTTGCTGTAGTGCATATACACTTGCCAAAGAAAGAGAAAAAGAGAGACAAATCATCCCCTGGAGGGATGGCCAAGCCACATTCCCTTTCCCTCCACTGTCCTCTCAGGATTTGGGGTACAAATGCACACATTCCCAGTGTAATTTTCAAGCTGCTGGGTCTCGGACTTGAACTGCAGAGTCAGCCATGTAAGATCCAGCACTTTAACCACCAGTTCACCTGCCAACTGCAATAAGCATTTTGACAATGAAATTTTTCATAAAATTTCCATTTAAAATAGCATCAAAAGGAATAAAATATAGGGATAAATTAAACAAATATTAAAAATCAAATTCTGAAGACTATAAAACATCATTGAAATGAATTAAATATTTAACTGCTAGAACAATATTCCATGTTCATAGATAAGAAAGTTAACATTGCTAAGGTAGCAATACTCCCTAACTGGATTTCAGAATCAATACAGCTCTAATCATAATACATGATAAACCTTGAAAACATTTTGCTAAGTAAAAGAAACCAAAAGTGAAGACCACATAATTTGTGACTCCCATTTATAGAGGAAAAAAATGAAATGAATAGAAACTGTCCCTAAAGAGACTTATACATTGGCCTAACTAAACAAAGATTTTTAATTGTCTTAAACACACTCAGAATTAAAGGGAGTCATGGACAAAGACAAAAGGAAAACAGGAGTAAAATATTCAACAATACAGAGAATCAGTAAAGAATTACATAATATAAAAAAAGATTAAACAAATTGTGAGTCTGAAAAGTATAAGGACAGAAATGAAAAATTTGAAAGTAGGATTCTAGTGTAAATTTGAACAAGCAGAACAAATCATCAAAAATGAAGATAGATCTATTGAGATGATAAAGTCTGAGAAGAAAGAAAAAAGAATAAGCAGAGTTAAAGAGACCCACAGGGGAACCAGCAGTTAGCGTAATGGCTATGTTGCTGGACTCCCACGTAGTCGACCGCGGTTCGTGCCCTGGACCCGGTGGATTAAAACTCACGCCGGGCGCGTGTGCGTGCGTGCCCAAGATCCAGAGAGGAGAATGGAGGAGAAGAGATTGCGGCGTGACCATCCCCCCTGGGGGGTGATTTCTCACTTTCTGTCTCTATGTCTCTCTCTTGTCTGTCTGGCGAGCACACGCGCCCTACAGTGAAAATCTCTCAAAAAAAAAAAAAAAAAAAAGAGACCCACAGAACACTATTAAGCATACCCACAACATATAATGAAAGGCCCAGGGGAGGAGAGAATGGGGCAGATTATTTGGAGAAATAATGAGCAAGAATTTTCCAATTTCTGATTAAAAAAAATTAATCTACATATCTAAGGATCATTATGAACTCCAAATAGTATAAACTCAAAGAGAGCCACAAGAAGAATTATTACAATCATGCTTTCAAAAGACAAACACAGGGAACGGGAACCAGCAGTTAGCGTAATGGCTATGTCACTGGACTCCCACCTAGTCGACCGTGGTTCGCGTCCCGGACCCGGTGGCTTAAAACTCACACCGGGCGCGTGTGCGTGCGTGCCCAAGATCCCGAGAGGAGAATGGAAGAGAAGGGATTGTGGCATGACCATCCCCCCTGGGGGGTGATTTCTCGCTTTCTGGCTCTCTCTCTTGTCTGTCTGGCAAGCGCATGTGCCCTATAGCAAAAAACTCTCCAAAAAAAAAAAAGACAAACACAGAGAATCTTAAATGCAGCAAAAAGAAATGACGTGTCATGACCAAGGACTTGGTAAAATTAACAGTGGATTCCTCATCAAAAACCATGGAGGCTGGGCCAGGCCTACAGCACAATAGTTAAGTGCTATGTAGAAGTATCTGGATCCCACATGGTCAACTAGTAAACAAATCTCAGCACCAGCAACTCAAAAATGGTGGTGTGCATGTCCAGGCTCTTGAAGGGAGGGAAGACTGGAGAAAGGGGACTGTGTGGCTAGGCCTCATTGTTTTCCTTCGTGCACATAAGCCATATCTTCTGGCATTTAAAAAAAATAAAAGAAACTACACTATTAGACAATGGATGACATATTCAAAATGCTAAAAGAGAAAAACTACCAACTAAGAAGTCTATACCTAGAAACTGTCTTTCAAAAATTAAGCAAATGTTTAATGGGTATAAAGTTTCAGTTTTAAAAGATGAAAAAGTTCTGGAGATTGGTTTCACAACAATGTGAATATATTTAACATTACTGAACTGAGTGCTTAAGAATAGTTAAGATGGTATATTTTATCTTGTGTGCATTTTATAACAACTAAATATATATAAGTTAAAGGGGAAAAAAAGGATAAATTAAGGCTTCCTAAGTAAAAAAAACTAAGGGAATTTGTCAGCAGTAGACATACCCTACATGTATTATTACAGGTCATCATTCAGGTTGAAACAACAGTAGAGAGTAAATCCAAGTCACACAGAAAAATAAAGAGTACTAGTAAAGTCAGCTACATACGAAATATAAAAGCTTATATTATTTCGTTTATGAGGCTCTCCTTTTTTCTGCCTTACAAGATTTAAAAGCCATTATTTCACAATATTGCTACAGCTATGTCTACCTTTAGGAACAAAAGTAGTAAACTGAAAAATGAAATTAAGAGACAGAGCTACAATGCTGTTTTATGCAACTAAATGGGATCGCTCACATTTTATTCTAAATCAGATAGCTCAGATTTGTATTTCACATGGAAAAAATCCTGAACTGGGGTCAAACCTAACATACTAAGAAGCAAGGTCTACTAATAAAGATTACTAGCTAGAAAGTCAAGAAACCTGAGTTGTTACACTGTCAGTAATGTTAGCTCTGCCAAAATTCAGTTTCCTGTTTCTGAAATGGGAAGGATATGCAATATTATAAGAACTTGTATGAAAAAAATAGTTGCTATTGTTTAAGCGTCCCTAAAACTTACATTGAAATTTGATACCAACTCTGGCACTATTGGTAGGTAGACCTAGCAGGAGGTACTAGAGACATGGGGCAGGTTACCTCAGTAATAGATTAACACCTTCTTCCAAGAGGAACTTAATTCTTACTAGATTAGTTCATGTGCGAGTGGTCTGCTATAAAGCAAATCCAGCCTGCTCAAGCTTCTCTTTTTGGCTGGTACCCACTGGCCTTTCTGCTTTTGTGCCATGGGCTGAAGTATAAAGAAGGTGGCCCTCACCATAAAGAAGCTGATGCCAGCATTATTTCTGGACTTGCAGCCTACAAAATCATGAGCCAAATAGATCTCTTTTATTTATAAACCATGCAATCTTGGGTATTCTGTTATAGCAATGTAAAATTGACTATGACAATAGTTGATATAAAATTCTTTAAGCCCTTAGTAAGCAAAGCAACAGGAAAATTCAAAGCATTATCAATAAAACTATAATCAGCATGCATAAATAGTCTCTGTATTTACCTGATGATGTTGGATGTTTCTTATGTTGCATGAAAAATTCTGGTAGAGCTGAAACTTATCAATGTCTTTCTCATTTACCTTTTTTGAGGACACTTTTGCCAGAGATGACTGGATACAAATGTATCTATTTTGGCATCTGTTCAGATACATAAATGTTCAAAAAACACGCAATTATTAATCTGTGCTTTAGTAATGAAACATTATATGGAAATAAGGGTAGCAAAAAAGTTAAGCTATTACTAAATGAGATTTTTATAATGAAGCTCTTCTAGGAAAATGTTATCAACTATTTAAGGAGGACTCTGCCTATTCACATTGGCAGAGATCCTAAAGGTCTATTTTTGCATCAACCAATCACCATATGAAATAACTTAAATGAATTTAGATACCATCTGCAGTTATGCAGGAGACTGAAACTATGCATACGAACCAGACCAAGAACTCTGGTCTAAGTATCCTTCTTTTCCAACCCTGACTAAGGCAGTAACAGTAAGGAAAAGCTAAAAAGAAGAGAAACAAAAGGATGTGTCATGACAGCTTCCAATAACAATTTATAAGACTAAACCAACTTTTAACAACATAATTACTTATAATGACAAATTTTAAAACCTGAGCAATTTTTCCTCAACTGGTTCCTTCTGGGACCTCTGAAAAAACAGAAAAGTTGTTTTCCTTGTATTGACAAAAATCCTGGCAAGCAACAGTAGTTAATTGTTTCATCTTTACCTTTCCTCTCCTCTGAACAGCTCATACAGCTAGAGATGAGGAGAGAAAGAGAAGAGCAGTCTTCTGGCAGAAACCCATCTTCCCTTATAGTACACAGCAGAAAAAGAACAACAGAGTACATAGAAAGAGAGTTTTAAATTATCTTTTTTTTTTTGATGAGGCATAAAATCCATAAGCTCAAGTAGGCTATAGGTCAAAGCACTTAAATCTCATAATTTGGGATGTGATGCCATGGATAAACTGCTCTCCCCAACAGTTAAAATTTATTTTGAAGACTGTACTTTTACCAATACTGGATGTTATACAGCCTCAAATCAACCCAGTCACTGGTAAATACCAGCATTCAGATACTGTAAGATTAAGCACATACACTACAATCAGCATGTTTAAAAGCAATGCCACCTGCTTGAAGTGAATGTGAATCCCCTTCTAGTATAGATTATAAAATGCAGTGGTCTTTAAACTAACTATGTTCATAAGAGCCCTCCACTGAGATGTCTCAGTGTAAGAAGGACAAGTAGGCAGAGTTCCAGAATCCCTGTCCAGAATGCAATTAAAACGATTTTACTTTTATCTGTTTTCTGTCAGAGTTCTACTGTTTGAACAAAGAGTTCTCCTACTAAAAAGAAAAAAAAAATCTGCAAACTAAGTTTCTAATGAACACTGGGGTTAGCACTAACCTTGTGAACCTTAACAGCATGAGTCCACAAGGCAGAAATCTCTATAAGAGTTACTCACAGTTTGCGAATGAAGTCAAGTGTGTCTTTGTCTTTAGCAATCATGTCTGCTAAAATATGCTGCACTCCTGTTTCAATATCCTGGAGTGCTGAAAGCCCTTTAGGAGAAGGGTGACCGGAAGAACAAAAACAAAAAGCACAAGATTGGTTTGGTTTTAAGGTCCATAATTAGGTCACAATTAACTCCAGTAAAAATAAAACCTTAAAGTAAGACAGAAAGTTATCATAGCAGTGACTAGCTTTCCTGTGCAACAAAAACAAGACTCCAAAAGTAATTTTTTTTTCTTTTTTTTTTGGAGAGGTTTTTTGCTATAGGGTGTGAGCACTGTGTAGACAGAGACACAGAGATATAAAGCAAGAAACCCCCCCTCCAGAGGGGATAGCCATGCCACAATCCCTTCTCCTCCATTCTCCTCTTGGGATCTTGGGCATGCACGCACATGTTCCCGGCGTGAGTTTTAAACCACTGGGTCCGGGACACGAACTGCGGTCGACTACATGGGAGTCCAGCAACATAGCCATTACGCTAACTGCTGGTCCCAAAAGTAATTCTTTACATACTATAGTGCCTAATGGTGGAAATGCAGCTCTGGAGTCAGCTGCCTGGTCTAATTCTGGTTCCACCACTTACCAACTGTGGGAACCAAGACAAGTTACTTGATTTCTCTGTAAAATTGAAGAAAATAGAATCGGTCTTATAATGTAAAGGTTATGTGCTGTGTACAGGGAGTCAGATCCCACACGGACTAATACAGTTCAAATCCCAGCCCCAGTGGCTTAAAAAACACACCAGCTGCATGTACTGGGCACATGTGTGTGCATGCCCAAAATTCTGACAGGAAAGAGGAATGGAGGAAAAATGATTGTGGCGTTATCATGTCCCCTAGAGGAGTTCTCTGCTGAGTGCGCATGCCCTCTGGCAATCAAGAAAAATAATAGCACCTCTTTTATTAAATGAGTTTCATAAATTAAATGTGTTATAAGAAATATGTATTAAGAGTCCTATCCCAAGGTACACAAATTTGTCACAAAAATTCTCCATTATAAGCAATTTCATTAATGCTCCTATTTTGGATTATAAGGCATTAATTTCCATGTTCAAAGACCCATTTGAATTTCTCATAAACACAAAACAAGAGCTATCATGCAGTTGTTCATATTCGCTGCTAAGCTGTCTACCAACAGGGCATTAAGTTCTTTCCAAACACTATGGTTTACTAATTTGCAACAATGAGTCTTGTAAATCATGGCCCCTGTGACAGCAACTTAAACATAGAGATAGATCAATTGCATTATTTTCTTTCATTTATTTTGTCTTGGTTGTCCTGCATGAATTGAGGGTTTTGTTTTTTTTTTTCACTAAAGCTTGAATTATATAAGTACTGAGTATTACACATACATTTTTCTGTGACTATAGCTTTCATGAGTAATAGGTACAAAAGCCAAAGAGACAGTAGAACATACTTATTATGTGTAATTAATAAAGAAAAAAAATGCCTTGTTTAGTTGTATTATGACGGCTTATGTTAACTACCAAAGTAACTGTATTTATTTTAAAGAAATATAAGAAAGAAATATGGCTGTTGAAAGTTATAAGAATTTTATGTACATTTTAAGAGAATTTTACTAGGAGGGAATTTTCAGTAACAAATTAACCTTGACAAGGTGGAAAACTGTATATGTAAAAGATTCAGAACAGCTGTGACAAACAGTAAGCACTCGATAAATGTTGCTCTTATGTTAGCTATCTCCCTAGATCAGTCTGCATCTAAGAAATCCATCTGCTATGCACTAATTCCTGAAGCCCAACGCATCAGAGCCTCATTACACAAAATTTAATGAGTATACTATTCTAACAAGTCAGAAGTAAAGATGAAAGATACAGTAAGAACCCTTAAAGGAGGCAGTGAACAGAAAGAAGAAATCATGGATTTTGTTAGAACAAAGAACCTTTGAAAAGCCCATCATATGGGAGAAATACAATCTAAAAATCTTATATAATTCATGGCCTTTATGTAACTAAAATTATGCTAAAGCACTAGAGCAATGTCTTGTAAAATACAGTCAGAAGACCCAAAAATGAAGTCAGTCATATTAGCTACTTGTTAAAAATATAGAATCCTAGACTATTAGGGTTGCATTGTTTTACAGAGTAACCCAAGTTGAGTCTGATACTCATTGAATTTAAAAAAAAAAAAAAAACTGCCGGAAAAGTGCCTTGAACTGCCTTGAGAGCAGTAGTTCTCAATGGGAGGTAGAAATTATTAGTCATTTAGAAAGCTCTTTTCAAGGGACCAGCAGTTAGCGTAATGGCTATGTCGCTAGACTCCCACGTAGTCAACCGCGGTTTGAGTCCCGGACCTGGTGGCTTAAAATCACGCCAGGCGTGTGTGTGTGCGTGCGTGCCCAAGATCCCGAGAGGAGAATGGAGAAGGGATTGCAGAGTGGCCATCCCCCCTGGAGGGTGATTTCTCGCTTTCTATCTCTCTGTCTCTCTCTGTCCGGCGAGTGCACGCGCCCTATAGCAAAATTCTCTCCAAAAAAAAGGAAAGCTCCTTCCAAATTACATACCCTCTCTCATTCCATCTGGGGGCAGGGGGAAGATTTGGAAAAAAAGTCTTGTGTATTTTGTAAACATTTATTTATTTGTAAACACTTCTTCCTTCATTAAAGAGAATTGATATTTCAGGCTCAATACAGGCAAAGATAATAGCGATTTAGTACTTTAATGAAGTTAGGAGGAAATGAGGTTCACAAACCAGAATATCATAACCCTCACCTTTTAATGAAATTTTCCCAACCGCCCATCTCCAAACTGCCACACCTGTAAGACCAACCTTTCCTTTCACTATACCAGCACTTAGACGACCTCTCCTTACTTATTTAAGAACATTAACATGGAGAAGTTCTGGATTTTCTGGGACATGGTCTTTTTGTAGCATAATATAGGTTCTTGATTCAGACCAGATTCTTATTGGTCTGTGGCAAGCAAGAAATATCTTTATCGGAGGAAGGAAAGTTGAAATATCAGGTTCCTTAAATTTTACATTGAAGAGTGATGGAAATGGGACCAGCAATTAGCATAATGGCTATGTCGCTGGACTCCCATGTAGTAGACCATGATTCGAGTCTCAGACCCGGTGGCTTAAACTCAGGCCAGGCATGTGTGCATGTGTGTCCAAGATCCCGAGAGGAGACTGGAGAAGGGATTGTGGCATGGCCATCCCCCTGGGGGGAGGGGGTGATTTCTCGCTTTCTATCTCTCTGTCTCTCTCTATCTTTCTGTTGAGTGCACGTCCCCTATAGCAAAAACCTGTATATAAAAAAAAAGTGATGGGAATGACAAAAATATTATTTTTAGAAAGAGTAATAAAATTAGGGTGACCATGAGTACATAGATAGCATAAAGAATGGGAGGAAAGGGACCAGCAGATGGTGTAATGGCTATGTCGCTGGACCCCCATGTAGTCGACCACGATTCGAGTCGTGGACCCAGTGGCTTAAACTCACACTGGGCACATGTGCATGCGTGCCCAAGATCCTAAGAGGAGAATGGAGGAGAAGGGATTGTTGTATGGCCATCCCTTCTGGGGGGTGATTTCTTGCTTTCTGTCTCTCTGTTTCTTTCTGGTGAGCACATGTGCCCTATAGCAAAAACATCTCAAGAAAAAAAAAAAAAATGAATGGGAGGACAAAGAGAAGGGGAAAACATTCCAAACAAACTTTCAAAAGCAGTACCTAGCTTATTTGGAATTAATTATAATCCTTCTACATGTGTGATTAAGGTGAAAGAAAGAGGGAATAAAGCAAGCAGAAAGTTTGTTATATCTGCCAGTACTGTGGTTAACTACGCAGGGTCTAAATGAGCTATTCACATTATCAGAAATATCACTAAATGTCCATCCTCATATATTCCAGGAGCACTACCATATAGGACAACCAAATAAGATAGGGTTCTCAAAAACCCATCCAGTAGGAACTCAGTACGTGTGAGAACTAAGGGGACCTTTGGACCAAAAGGGGTAGGAAGTAGAAGAAACAGAAATCAACCTTAAGAAAAATAAATACAGGCAATAAATATTTCTGTATCTAACATTCTTAACACACCAATATCCCATTCTAATAAAATATACCAAGACTGGTTAGATAGTTCCCACTGTGGTTAACCTCAATGCTTAGTTATATGGTCTTAGCCATTATTAAAACATTAATGTTGCAACCATTTGACAATTTAACCAAAAATACACATTTTAAAAATTGGGCAAATTTGAATTTAACTTAGTTCAACCTATTCCTAAATGCAAATATTTCTGCTCTACTTTTGTTTTTTATTATTCCTTTTCCAAACATATTAAAATACGTGTGTATGAACAAATATCTGCATTTTACAGTCATACTAAATTTTGTTTAGTCACAAATTCACTTCAGCTGTATTATTTAAAACTAAAATGGCTTGTGGTACACGCTGATTCTCTGTAGTTTAGAAAATACTGTGGATTTTGTTATCAGAGACTGCCCCCTACAGACATTTACTTCCCCCAGTCTAAAGAATCAACAGAGGCCAAAAGTGACTAGAAGTTGGGGGAGATGGGAGGAGAGAGTGCTACAGATCAAAAGGTGCAAAGTTGCAGTTATGTAGGCTTAATGAGCCTAGAGAGCTAATGTACAACATGAGGACTACAATTAATTATATTGTATTCTATTCAGGATAATTTGGTAGGAGTAGATTTTAGATACTCATACCACAAAAAAAAAGGTAACTATGTAAGATGATCTATTTGCTTGAATATCCTGCACAGTATTACTTGACTACAGTCATCATGTCACTGTGTATGTATATTAAAACATCATGTTGTACACCTTAAATATATACAATTTTTAAAATATAAAAATAAATTTTTTTTAAAGAGTAGTGATTAACAAGAGCACTAATCTCTACACTCAAGCCTAACAGAGAACTCTTGAAAAAAGCCACCTGCTCAGAAAGTTCTCCCTGTAAGGATCATTTTGACAATAAATCCAATGCTTCTTGACATGTATCAATGTCATTTTCATTGGATTTTTCTTTTAAATCTTTCTCCCTTCCTCCTTTCCTTTCTCATTCTCTCTCTTATCCACGCATGCACACAAAAGGATCAGAAGATAGGAAGTAATTTTCAGAAAATGATACTTTACTCCTACAGAATACAGGTGTGGATGTGGGGCTTCACTTTACATTTCACATAAGAATTGTTGGAATTCTTTTTAAACAGTAGTTATGACTTTTATAACTGAACATAGCTGTTGGAAATAGGAGGTTTAAAAGACAATATAGGAGAATCTTTATGAACTTAGGATATGAAAGGATTTTTTTAAAAATATAAGCAACAGTCTTAAAACAAAAAGATTAATAAACTTATTTCTATGAAACTAAGACCTTCTATTTACCAAGAGATGGCATTAAAAAAGGTGAAATGACAAGTTACAAACTGGGAGACATAATGTGTTAACCTATATAAGGAACAAAGGATATCTAAAAAATATATTTATAAATTAGTAAAAGAAAAATACTACAATAGATTGAGCAAAAAAAAATGAGCAATAGATTAGAACAGGTACCTCATCAAAAGCGGAAAGCTGAGTGGCCAAGCAATAGGTACATCAGAATTTGTTTTATTAGAATTGTTTATTCCTTATATGCTATGGTATTCTTTTGAATAGTCATTACTTAATTCAACTATTTTTTAAACGTCAGTTTTCCGAATTTGAAAGAAGAAAGAAAGAAAAGGAGCAAGCGAGCGAGCGAACAAGTGAGTGAGCAGGCCAATCTTATTAAGTAAAGCTGGTACCTTTAACATCAGGTTTAATGTAAGATAGCAGATTGAGCTCCCCTGGATTCTCAAGCAATGTCAAGGCTGCTCTTTCTAATCCCAACTGTTTTGCTCTCTGGGCTTTGGTGCCTTTGCTCCCAGTTTTATACGGAGCAGACTGGAGGGGGGAAAAGGCAGAAAACATATCATATGACTCATTTCTAAAAAGCAAAAGTTAAAACTAGCATACAAAATAAGAGGACATACTGAGAATGCTAAACACATCCTTTTTTCAACCTTTTCCTCTTTCTTTGGAGAGTAATATTAATATGAAGATGGGGTATGCTTTCTTACTCTTAATACTTTTCTACATGTTTAATTAGTGATTTGTTTGATTTAACTCATCTTAAAAACTCATCGTCTGGACATTAAGGTTCTCTCCTTAACACAAGCAATTCCTCTAAAAGCTGACTACAGGCAATACTTCTAATTCTTAATCCACATTCACTCCATCTGGCTTCTCTTCCCTTACACCCTGCTGAAAGTGATATCATCACAGGGATCCACAATGATGCTTAATTAGCAAATACACATTTTAAACCCTTATTTTGCCAAACATCCCTGCTACATTTAACTATTGATCATAACCTCCTTCTAAAACTCTTTCCTACTCTTCACTGTTCCCATCATCCCCTAATTCTCTTCATATGCCTCTGACAATTTTTTTCCGTATCTCCTTAGACTTTCCCTTCCTCTACCCACACTTCAAAAGCTGGTGTTTCACAGTGGTCATTCCTGACCTACTCACTCCACAAACTCTCTTCGTTCTTCCATTCTCATGATTTCAAATACCAACTAAAGGTTGAAGACGTTTGCCACAAGCTCTCCAATTCAGCCCTGTCCCTTAGGCTTTACATATGTATAATCGATTTTCCTTCCCATCTTAACTATGTATTACTCATCTTTGTAAACACAAGTGCCTAGTACAGGAAAGGCACTTGAAAAATTACTGAATGAAGAATGTTTTGTTGAATTAATGACTGCTGGCTAATGATTTTAGCTTGTAATTTCTTGATCTTTAACCATAAAAAGGCCAAGAAACCACAATATATTCAAATCATAATATACTCAAGTATTACACTAAAAGATAAGTGTTCCTTACCACATGTTCCAGTTCTTCAAAAGTTTTACAGTTTAGCAAGGCTTTTAACAAGCAATCAGACATCTTTCCCTCCTTCTTAATTTTCTGTATTGTACCATGAACCTTCTTTGCAACAGCCCTGAAAAATAAAAACTTTAATAATATACAAGACCATTATGTCAAAACCTACTTTTTAGGCTATTTCAAACTTATTGAAAAGGTGAAGTAAAAATAACTTTTTTTCCTCTGACCTGTTTGAGAAAAAGTTAACATCACTTCCAAATACTCTATCTACTGTACATTTCCTACAAATAAGAATCTTCTCTTAAACAACCACAATATAACCATCAAGACTGGGTAAATAATATTGATATATTGCTACCATCTAATCCTCGACCTCATTCAAATTTCAGCAATTGTCCAAATAATGTCCTATGTAGTGAATTCAGTTCCGAATCACACATTGCATGTAGCTACCAGGTATCTATAGTCTCCTTCGAACTCAAACAATGTTTCAGGCTCTCCTTGATTATTTCTGAATGCCAATGGCCACTTATTTTGTACAATTTCCTACAATTTGGGTATTTCTGAGGTCTCCTCACAATTAAATTCAGACAGTGTAGCTCTGCTAGGGATATCATACATGGCATGTTCTTCGCACTATATTCTATTAGGTAGCAAATGATTTTTATTTGTCCCATTACTAATGAACTTTGATCAGTTGATTAAGGTACTGTCTGTGGGTTTCTCCACAATAAAGGTACTCTTTATTCCCTTTATATTTAATAAGCATTTTGTGAAGCAGTACTTTGAGGCTATGTAATTATCCCATTCCTCATTAAAATTTCAATTTATTCACTATAGGTTCATGGTTTTCTATTTTTTCTAGTAGTTACAATCTGTTGGCCTCATTTGTTTTAATGCTTAAAACTGTTCCAGATTTGGCCAGAAGTAACCCCCTTCAAGCTAGCGCCTATGTCTTTTTGGCACTTCCCTGTCATTCTCTGAGCACTTCCTTATTCTCTCACACAAGATATTCCAGGCTCATCTTTTACTTTCTTTTCCCCAGCCCTAGAATCAGGAAATAGTACTTGTAAAACACGTTATAGGTACTAAGTATGATCACTGCTATTGAAATATCACTACTCAGGACACCCAGCACTCATAATCCCATAATTGGTTTCTAAATATCATCCTGTACTTAAAAAAAAAAGAAAAAAAGATACTATATAGAAAAGCTGATTCTAAGAACCAATGTAAAGGGATTGATGTTAAAGTAGGGGCAAAAGAGAGTGGCAGGCACAGTAGTTCCCCTACTTCATGTTACTTATACTGTGAATATACAACCCTATTGTTATATTTAATGTTGTATATTTGCATCCTGTTTCATTATCTGTTCCTATTTATAGGATCTGCCTAATAATTGTATTGCTAAAAGTATGGGCAAATTAGAGATAATACAAATTATTAAAAATGACTGAGGAAGGACCAGCACGTGGCATGATGGCTAAGGGCACTGGACTCCCACATGGCCAACCGCAGTTTGAGTCCCAGACCAGGTGGCTTGCTTTCTTTCTGCCCCACCCCTCCTCACTCTCACTCTCACTCTGTCCCTTTCTGGTCAAATTAAAATAGATGAATAAATAAAATTTTTAAAAATGACTGATGAAAATGGAAATTAAATCTACTTATAAATAATAAATAAAGACAAAGACTGTAAACTAAAGGGAAGAATATGCAATCCTTAGATTACAACATGAAGGTTTTATAGTCCTGGTAGCCCAAGGCTGTTTATAAGGTCTAAAGTCTACCAGGATCCTTTTGACAGAAAGCCAATGTCTTGTTGGCCTGAATATGAGAAGAAGAGAGGCATCTTTTTTTTTCTTTTTTTTGGAGAGGTTTTCGCTATAGGGTGCATGCACTGGCCAGAAAGACAGAGAGAGACAGAGAGATAGAAAGTGGGAAATCACCCCCCAGGGGAGATGGTCACACCACAGTCCCTTCTCCTCCATTCTCCTCTTGGGATCTTGGGCACACATGCACACCTGCCCAGCATGAGTTTAAGCCGCCGGGTCCGGGACTTGAACTTGAACCGCAGTCGACTACATGGGAGTCCAGCGACATAGCCCTTACGCTAACTGCTGGTCCCAGAAGAGAGGCATCTTTAGAAAAAAATACAGTAAACTTTTCTTACTATCCAGAATGATTTTTAATAGTGACCCAAGAAATGTATTTTACCTTGCAATCCAGTATATACATGGGGTCCTCAAACATAGTATGTGGGGTCCCCAAAAAGTTCACAAAAAATACATACTATGAATTTTTAAAAATTCTTGCAAAATAAACTCATACTTTAATTCCATTTTCCATGAACTTTCTGGAAGTCCCTCTATATAAAAAATTGAAATGCTTCATGAAACAATATTTACCTTTACAACATAAACTGCAACGTTACATCTTCTATTCTCTATATCTTCTTTTTTTAAGTAGTAAGACTTCTTAAATTGGCTTTATTTCTCATGTATGGGTAGCAACTGAAAAGCCAATGCTCTAGTTATAGAAGATGCTAAATATATCTCATTGCCAAAAGAAATGTGTGTGTCTATATATAAAAATGTGTTTATCCATTTAGCTATATCTATGTATATATACATATATACACACACACATTTGTATAATCTACTGAGCTCCCACTCAATGCCTCCATTTACTTCAAGAAATATTCCTCCTCTCAAAAAAAAAAAAAAGAAAAAAAAAAGAAATATTCCTCTAATAATACTTGATGTATTCCTCTATTAATAGAAACCCAAGGAATTAAAAATTTAGTGTGTGTGTGTGAATGCTGCAGAATCCTCTGAGGACTTTTTAAAAAATTTTTAATTTCTTTTTTTTTTTGTAGAGGTTTTTGCTATACGGTGCATGTGCTCACCAGAAAGACATAGAAAGACAGAGAAATAGAAAGCGAGAAATCACCCCCCAAAGGGTATGGCCATGCCGCAATCCCTTCTCCTCCATTCTCCTCTTGGGATTTTGGGCACGCATACACACACGCCCAGCATGAGTTTAAGCCATCGGGTCCGGGACTCGAACCATGGTCGACTACGCGGGAGTCCAGCGACATAGCCATTATGCTAATTGCTGGTCCCAAAAATTTAGTGTGTTTTTTTTTTATAGAATAAGAATAATAGTAATATTAACGTAAAGCTTCTGTTTGCCCCTATACAACAAAATTTTGTTAGACTACCTTTAATTTTTTTAAGCAAACCATTTTTGTTTTTGGGGACATTTTCTCTAACTTCAGGTCCCAAATGTGAGTTGTAAATGGTTTTGTTTGGCTCAGAACATTTTTTACATAAAAACCCAGATTATCAGCTTCTTTTCAGAAACAGGAAGATGCAACAAACTAGGAAGATAACACTATGTCAGTAATTTGCTAGCATGGCTGGGGCAGCCCCATCTTGGACAGAGTATGTAATCTCTGATTCTTATCCTCCAATAAGTATAAGATTATACTTGATTATACTAACAAGACCCTGGAAGATATACATATGAAACCATTTGATTAACAAGTCATTTATACTTCTGGATTAACTAATTGATTCTGTCTCTCAATGAAATAAAACTTTTCACATATGAGCATTTTAATTCTCCTGACACTCAAAGAACTTCATTGTAAGTGGTAGAAAAGTTAGTGAGATACAAGTCCCCCCCTTAAAATCATAGGAAGCTTATCATCATGGTGTTTAAAAGTAATCTTCAGAATTTTCAGAATGGCTTGATGGTAGGATTATAGCCAGTTTTAATCAGCTTCTTACTGTAAGCCTGAAGCGCACACACATCGACAACAGTGTCTGTAGGACACACGCAATAAATGCATGAATAATAAAGTTTTTTCATAAACCCTACTGAACAATATGGTCACTCTCATGGTCTTTATACATATTTCTAAATTATTAAATTAAGTCCAGAGGCATAATTTTTTTAAGAGAAGGTAATTTCCATTCTATAATCATATAAAACTTATAACCCACTAATATATTAAATTACCATTCGTTTTAAAAAAACGGTAAAAGAAAATACACATATTCCCTACCAAACTCTATACTTCCTAAGAACTCTCATTTAGGGACTTTATACAAATGTACTCTGAGTTTCCTGCTGGTAGTCCTGAAACACAATAAATTACCCTTCTTCTGATATAGGCCTACACAAATTATAAATACACCAGCAGAGGAACTCCAAACACCCCTAAATAAGTAAAATAGAGCTGACTTTCTGTCAGAAGAAGACTATATCCAGATTACAATAGCTGAAGGAAGCAAAACACTGAAACTGCCAATATATACTATAATATCATTTACTTCCTCCTTGTTTTTCCTCATTGACTCATACCCCCTCTTTCACCTTTCATTGGACTCACCCTTTCCGGGGCTTCTTACCGTAGTTCCTCTAGGGTTTGCCGAACTTCTCTCAAGGAATCAGCATCAAGGTTATTAATGAGCTCTTTTCGATAACGTACAATGAAGGGAATTGTGTTATCATCATTAAAGAGACGAATGATGTTGGCACAAACCCAAAGTTCAATATTAGTTCTCTCAGATAAAACCTGCAAATTAAAAATGCTTAGTGACTGAAAATGCAAAAAAAAGTAAATAAAAGTAAACATGCAGGTTAACATATAGTATCAAATAATGTTCTCTAATCACTTAGAAAATACTTGCTATAATTTTTATTTATTTATTTATTTATTTGGAGAGGCTTTTTTTTTTTTTTTTTTTTTTTTTTTTTTTTTTAGGGGGGGGGTACTAGCCAAAAAGATTTGCTATAGGGCGCGTGTACTAGCCAGAAAGACAGAGAGAGACAGAGAGACAGAAAGTAAGAAATCACTCCCCGGGGAGGATGGCCATACCATAATCCCTTCTCCTCCATTCTCCTCTCGGGACCTTGGGCATGCATGCACATGCATCCGGTGTGGTTCTACTCCATGGGAGTCCAGCAACATAGCCATTACGCTAACCGCTGGTCCCACTTGCTATAATTTTTTTAAAGGAAAAAAACCTATAAATTATATGTGTGTGTTTGTATGATGTGTTTATACACAGGTAATACGTATATACATATATATATACACACATACACATATATTGATAACCATAATAGCTAGTCATTCCACTAATTAAATAAAATCCAATCAAAACCACTGTATCAGGACCAGCAAATGGCATTCCAGTTACACTGCTGGACTCTCACATGGCAGACCGCAGTTTAAGTCCTAGACTCAGTAGCTTCTAAATCACACCAGATATGTGTGTATGTGCATACCCAAGATCCTGAGAGGAGAAGGGAGAAGGGAGTGTGGCATGGCCATCCTCCCTGGGGGTTGATTTCTCACTTTCTACCTCTCTGTCTCTTTCTGTGTCTCTCTAGTAAGCTTATGAGTCCTATAGCAAAAATCTCTCTCAAAAAAAAAAAAAAAAAGCCACTGTCATTCAACAATGACAGTACTTTCCAATGATGCATTTTTGGAAAGACTGGCAACAAAGATCAAAGAGTTGGTGGTAATTTACTGTGTCACCATGAGTGCAAGAAAAGGGCATTTTTAATCACTGTTAGTGTGAAAATACAGTGGTCTAACTCTCGTGAAAGAGCAATTTGGCAATATCTAACAAAATTTACTATGCAGTCACAGCACAGTCAGCAGCACACTGAATTGCAGTGCTGAAAGACACAGGGCTGACCATGGATTCAGATCCCCAGCCCAATCAACCTGAAGCATTCTGGGCACATATGCATGGGCCCAAAACTGGGATGCACTAGAAGGCTAAGAATAGAGAACTGCAATGTGACAAGACTCTATTAAGTATACTTCTCTCTCTGTATCATGTAGTGTCACATGCTCTGTGTGTTCTCTATCATGAATAAAAAAATTTTACTTTAATTTACAATGTATAAACTTTTAGATACAATAATTCCATTTTAGAGTAGAATACCATATAACCATTCAAGAATATTAGGTAGCTCTATATGAATTGATATAAAATGGTTACAAGAACTTAGAACACAGGTCACTTCAAGGAAAAGTAAATGGCTGAGAGTTAGTGTACGAAGACCTGCCTACATTTCTTGAACTTTGCATCATGTATAGGTATTACATATGCAAAATAATTATTTTTTTAAAAAACCCTATAGAAAAAAAGTCCATGTAAGCAGAAAAGTTTAGAACAGTCAGCCTACAGAGACTTCACTCTCCTGATGCCAAGATTTAGGTCAGAGTAGTTCTCAATTCCCACAGAATCTGCTGTACAAAGAGAGAAAAATAAAATTGCAGAGAGATTGCAGAACATCTCCTCCTGCGTGCCTCTGAAATGCTCATATTTAACTCCAAAAATTGGAAAAAATGTATAATCCATCAGATGGCCAGAAACCACCGCAAAGGCATAAGAAATACGAGAAGCCTAGAAAATACCTTTCCCCCAAAAGAATAACTCCTCATCCTGCACGACTATACAATGGAACTCGTGGAAATGTCAGATAAAGAACTTAAAATATTCATGAGGCTGACAGGTGGTGTGTTGGATAAGGCAGTTGGGCTCCCATATGATTGACTGGTTCAAGTCCTGGACCTGGCACCTTGCTTTCTCACTATCCTTCTATCTGTCTCTCTCTGGTCAACTTCAAAACAATAAAATAAAATAATGATAATGAATATAATTAAATAATTCTTTATTAAAAAAAGGAATTTAGAATATTCATAGAGATACATTTAACAGAGATGCAAGTGAAGAGAGACAATGAATTCCAGAAGATGAAAGAAAAAAGAGACAATGAATTCCAGGAGGTGAGAAAGTTCTTCCACGATCTGAAAGAGGAAATAGACACCATAAAGAAGAATCATATGGAATTGTTAGAGATGAAGGCTGTAATACAGGAAACCAAACCTTTCTCAAAAGTATTAAAAGCAAAATAGGGGACTGGCAGGAGGCATGGTGGTTAAGGGCGTTGGACTCCAACATGGCTGACTGTGGTTTGAGTCCCAGACCTGGCAGCTTGCTTTCTCACTTTCTCTCTCTCCCCACCCATCAAATTAAAATAAATACATACATACACAAAACTTTTTTTCTGAAAGAAAAAAGCAAATTAGATTAGCTCATACAGAAGACTGAATCTCAGATGTAGAAGACAAAACCTCTGACCTAGAAAAATTCACTATAAAGACTGAGAAAATAACCCCCCCAAATGAGAATAATATACAAGTAATACTAGATACCATTAAACACCCAAACATCCAGATCATTGATGTCCCAGAAGGTGAAGAAACTAATAAGGGCATTGACAATCTATTCCATGAGATCCTGGTAAAAAAAAATCTTTTCAAACCTAGAGAAGCATTCAAATACCTAGACTCAAGAAATAAAAAGGACCCCACATAGAATCAACCCAATAAAATCTTGTCCACAGCACATCACAGTCAGATTGGCCAAAACACAGAGAGACAAGATACTAAAATTGGCAAGAGAGAAACATCAAGTTACTTTCAAAGGATATCCCAGGTTAACATCATAACTGTCATCGAAAACATTGCAAGCAAGGAAAGAATGGGAAAATATATTCAAAGTGTTAAGTGAAAAACAATTTCAACCAAGAATACTATATCCAGCAAAATTATCCTTCATATGGGAAGAAAAGACAAGAACATTCTCAGATAAACAAAACCTGAAAGAATTTACCAACACCAGGCCAGCTCTCCAAGGTCTGAAGGGAGTCTAAAGTCAAACATACAGAAATAAAACTACAAAAAACAACCAAGAGAATGGTCACCTTAATGGTAGAGACAGTTCTGGAAATATCAGTAATAATGATGAATGTTAACTTCCAGAATTTAAACAGAAAGATCAGAGCACAGTAACACTGTGAATTCAACAGAAGAGAAATTCATTACATGGGACTGAACTGGTGAAACAGAATTTTATGACTTTTGTCTAAAACATTACTGATTTTCTTCTATGCTTTGTTTTCCAGATTCAAGGATTTTTGTCATTTCTTGAATTGCTGATAGGTTCATTTACCTACTGTTTGAACGGGATCCTAAACTTTTTTCTGGCTTTAACTCTTAAGCAAACTTTCTCTCTCTCTGTCTCTCTCTTTCTCTCTGTTTTAATCAAAGAGGTAAAATAGAACTTTATTTTTATTTATTTTTATCTTTTAGTATAATTTACCCCAAGAAATGATGTTTGCCAGTTAAAACAAAATAAAACTAAGCTAAAAACACTTTAAATTATTCTGTCCTACTCAGGTTCAAGGAAATGCTTAGTAGCAAATTAACTGCTCATTGGCTTTGAACATTCTTTTTCTACCATTGAAATATGGTTTACTAGTGAATCAACAAAGAATAAAAGGTGGTGGTGGACTGTTAGATAAGTGAGGCTCACCTGAGTTGCTTCCAAAGCAGCCAGCCTTAGTGTATCAGAGTAATTAATATTAACTGCTGTAAAAATAAAGCCCCAAGTCACAGTTGGTAAAACAACTGAAGTGTCTCATTCACCAAAGTCGGCTTTAATGCATTTTTTTAATTTCAAGAAAAAGTTTTAGTTTTAATAGATTAAAATACAAAAATATTAAGAGAAGTTTGCTTTTCACTGGTGAATGAGAAGCAAAACCTGAAAGAATTTACCAACACCAGGCCAGCTCTCCAAGTTCTGAAGGGAGTGCTATCCCGGGAAAACTAAAGTCAGACACACAGAAATAAGAATTCTAAAACAGTCCAGAGCTGAACATTATCTTCCAGAATTTAAATGGAAAGATTGGACCACAGCAGAAGATAAAGTACATGAACTTGAACTGGTGAAATAGAATTTTATAACTTTTGACTAAAACATTACTGACCTTCTATGTTTTGTTTTCCACTGTTAGAGTTTTGTCTTCTCTCAAGTTGTGGACAGGTCCATGTACCTATTATTCAAACAGAATCCTAACCTGTTTCCTGGCTTTAAGTATTAAGCAAAGTTCTCTTAACCTTTTTTTATTTTGATTTATTAAAGCTAAAACTGCCTTTCTTGAAATGAAAAAGGATATTTAAAAGAAGACCTATTTGGCAACCACAGTAAGCCATATAGCCTCAGCTATGTGCAATTTTATAGTATATTCATTCTATCTACAGTTTCAAGCCTAAAGTCAACTTTTGTTCACAGATATGATCAGCTGAACTTACTATAGAAAGTATTTAGATTAAGTAAGATATTTTATGAATCAATACAATGTGGGATAGAATAAAGAAATGAAAAGCAACTGCAGAAACCAGAGACAGGGTGGAAAGAGGATGGGAAATGGCAGAGGGAAAGAAATTGGGAGATGTGTGTATACACACACACACACAGACACACACACACACACACACACACACACACACACAGAGATATACACACATATATACACACACACACAAGAAACAAGAAATGGAAAATTATTTGTTGATGATAATGTGTATGTTTAAGCCACTTTACAGTGTATTCTGAATGGGAAATCACATTTTGTATGCTGTGATAATGACCAGTGAAAGTATGTAAAATAAACAAAAATATTAAAAAATTAAAAAATAAAGAAAAAAAA